CCTTTGGGATCAGATGTTTCCAATATCATTGGTTCGGACATTCAAATGCATCTGCTCGTGGTTCTTTGACGTATGCTCGATGTGGTGGCAAAGACGCCTACGAGTGTCAACTGAACCCTCACTGTGTCAATTGTAATGGTTCACATCCTTCTTACTTTCGATGTTGCCCTAAGGAAAGGAAGGTACAAACGCTTAAGAACTGTAAATAACATTTTTTTTATCCAGAGGCTCGGAAGTTGCCGTCCCCTGTTCCATCTCGGACATATGCTGCTGCACTCCATTCCACTGTTAAAGTGGGAGTACAGACAAATCTTTCCGTGCCTCCAACACGGAAAGAGTCTTTTGCTCTCTGTGGATGCAAGAGTTGACAAGTCTACATCTACTCCTGTCTGTCCTCACCAGTACTTCCGGTGACTGCTCAGTTCCGTCTCCTTCGGCCCCGAGATGCAGAACCATTATTTGGTCACTCCCTCAGTCTCTGGAATCTCCATCCTCTGACAGAGATCTGCCCATTTGATCCTAGGTAGGTTCCATGGAGGTCGACAGACCCCTTTCTACTAAAGAAACCTGTCGTGGTCGCAGACAGAAGGGTTCTCAACCCAGTCCTCCTCCACCTATATAAAAATAGCCACTTTGATACAGTGGAATTGTCGAGGTTTTCATTCTAATTTGGATGACATTAAGGTCTTGATCAATTACTATCATCCTGTGTGTCTCTCCATACAGGAAACATTCCTGAGACCTGTTGATACTGTCACCTTTTGGTAGTTTTCTGTATACCGGAATGATAGGTTGTGTTATGTTCAAGTTCGTGGAGGTGTGGAACTTCTGGTTGATCAGAACGTACCCTCATTGTCTGTGTCACTCGATACACCCTTAGAGGCTGTAGCCATCTGAATCTCCGTGAGTCATACCTTCACTGTTTGTTCACTTTAGCTGTCTCCAGGAGAAACTTACGATCAATCAGATCTTAATGCTTTCATAGAATAGTTTCCGTCTCCCTTTTTCATCTTAGGAGACTTTAATGGACACATTCCACTTTCGGGTGGTGCTGATATGATGGGAGGGGTCGTTCTGTGGAACAGGAGCTCTCAAATCACAAACTTTTTCTCTTCAATACTGGTGCATTTATCTATTTTTATGCACCTAGTCAATCTTTTACTGCTATTGATCTTTCTATCTGTTCCCCTTCAATTTTTTCTTGAACTCAAGAGACTCAAGGGGCAGTGATAATTTCCTCATTATTTTGCAGGAGATTGGCTGTGGTCGGTGTCATCCGACCCAAATGCCACAGTGAAAGCTGAAGATGGATAACTGGCTCTCATTCAATACTATCTTGGAACTAGATTCTGCAGTTGTTAGTCTGCATGGATATATTAATTGATTATATCATTCAGGTAGCTGTTCATTCAATACCCAAAACCTCAACATCTGCATTTCATTCCAGCTGGTCAGACATCAAAGTGAGAAGGAATCTTGGATTAAGCTCATCACCAGCATGTCTTCTACCACCAGTTTTAAAGTCGTCTGGGAGAATATTGGGAAAATCAATGGGAAGTATTCTTCTCCTCCAATGGCCAGGAAGTTGCTGATGTACAGAGTATCGCCATTACTTTTGGAGGGAGCTTTGCTTATCTTTTCAGCACTTCTATCTCTTCTGCCACTTTTTTGCCATCAAGTCACGGGCTGAGAGATTGCCCCTTTCCTTTTGAGCAGGTCAGCTCTATGATTTTAATCGCCCATTCACACTGGTGGAACTTAAGCTTGCTCTTCATCAGTCTGGCAATACATCAGTCGGAATTGAAGACGTTCACTATGAGATGTTGAGCCATCTCTATCCTGCCTCTCTTGCTCTTCTTCTGGTTGTTTTAACCAGTTATGGCAGGAGAATGTTTCTCCAGATGCTTGGCACAGGGCTACTATTTTTCCTTTCTCAAAACCTGGGAAGGATTCCAAGATTCCTTACAATTATCGACCAGTTGCTTTGACTAGCTGTCTCTGTAAGGTTTTGGATAGGATAGTTAATGCTCGTCTTGTTTGGTTCCATGAATCAAACAACCTCATCTCGCCCACCCAATGTGTTTTTAGCGTACAGAACTCCACGGTGGACCACCTGCTTCATCTCAAAACTTTGATCAGTTAAGCCTCTTGTGTCTGTGTTATTTGATCTTGAGAAGGCTTATGATATTAAATGGAGGTTTGGCCTTTTGTGGGATCTCCATTCATATTGGTTTCATGACCATTTACCCATTTTTATTCGTAACGTCTTAAATAACAAGCGATTCCAGTTAGAGTGTGTACCATTTCCTGTTCCTCCACACAGGAACTTGGTGTCCTTCAGGGCTGTGTTTTGAGTTTCACACTTTTCAGTATCAAGATCAATGCTATCACTAAACAAGTTCCTCCCACTTTTGCAAACAATCTCTCTCTGTCAATGACTTCCACATTTCTTGTCATTCATCTAATCAGAGGTTTATTGAGTGGCAGCTTCAAACTGCTCTCATTCAATTGTTGACATGGGCCACAACCTTCTCTTCCTCTAAAACCATTTGCATTCGTTTTTGCCACCAATGGGATTTACACTCTGATCCTAAGCTCCATCTAGGTGGTGGTGGTCTTCCAGTGGTTCCTGAGGCTTATCTTTGACCATAAGCTTACTTTCATTTCTCACATTAAACAGCTTCGTGTCAAATGTACAAGGGCACTGAACATTTTTTTCTCCTCTCTTCCCACTCTTGGGGAGTTGATTGATGTTCTATGTTGGGTATTTATCGTGCCCTCATATGTTTCAAGCTGGACCAGGGTCTATGGTTTATGATTCAGCAAGGCCCTCTGCCTTGAAGTTTTTGGACCCTGTATATCATCTAGGGCTTCAGCTCTGCACGAGGGCTTTCCGTACTTTGTCAGTTCAGAGTCTGTACACTGAGTCCCACGAACCTCATCTTCACCTCCGCCCTTTGCAGCTTTTATTGGAATATGTTACCAAGCTTCGATCCTTACCACAGCATCCCACCTGGGTTTGTGTCTTCCTTCCTCATTGGGCTGTGCTCTTTTGGAATTGGCCTTCGTATCCAGGCATAGCTGGCTGAACTTGGTCTGTTATTATATGTCATTGCTGAATTCGATGACCAGACCATTCCTTCTTGACTCGTTACTACTCCCACCATCCTTCTTTGAGTCATCTGAGGAATGCAGATACTCCAGATTGGAAGTACCATATTCTCTTTGCCTAACATCTTTTGAGCCATTCTTCTATTCCTGTTTTCACGGATGGTTCAAAATGAGGTGACTCTGAGGGTTCTGCCATGGTGTTGTGTCTCGGTGGTTGCTCACAGGATCCCCACTACAGTTTCTGTCTTCACTAACGAGTTATATGTCATTTCTCTTGCCGTGTATCCCATAAAAGCTAAGCAGTACAGTAATTGTACTACTTACACCGACTTTCTTAGCTTTTTACTGGCTCTGGAATCGCTTAACGTTAATTCTCACCCAGTTCTCGTGAATATTCAAAAACGACTAGCCCATTAGTTCCCTATCTTCCATTTCTGTCCAGTTTTTTGGATACCTGGCCATATCGGTACTCACGGGAACGAGCTGGCTGACACCGCATCTAAGCCTGTCTATTCTGATGCAGTTACAGCCTTGTTTGTTCCATTTATGGAGGATGATCCTTTTGATCAAGGCACGGCTTCACGCCAGTTGGCAGTCTATTTGGAGATAGTAGCTTCATATCAAGCTTTTCCAGATTAAACCTATTGTTGGTGTTTGGCCATCTAGTTTCCGTAAGGATCAAAGGTAAAAAGTTGTCTTGGCTACGCATTAATCTCATTTTTTAACGCATTGTTTTCTTTTATGTGGGACAAATCCACCAATGTGTGGCTTTTGTGACACTCGAGTTACAATTACCTACCTTTTACTTTCGTGCCGTCGCTATGAATGCTAGCAGCGGCACCATTTTAGACGTTTTTTTTTTCTAGGAGTTTACCCCTTACAGTGTCATTGGCAGTAGTGACACTGTCCAGTTTGACTGTGTTTTTAGATATTTGCGGGCCACACAGTTGTCTTATATATTTATACCGGTTGTTTGGAGCAGATAGCCACGTTGCTTTGCGCCAATTAACCCCAAAAACCTAACTAATCAACAGAAAATGTTTCAAAATATCTTTGTTTTAACTATCATTAGCCCGGCATGCCCAGGTGGTTAGGGCGCTCGACTCGCAATCTGCAGGTTGCGGGTTCGAATCCCCGTTACACCAAACATGCTTGCCTTTTCAGCCGTGGGGGCGTTATACCTAACGGTCAATCCCAGTATTCGTTGGTAAAAGAGTAGCCCAAGAATTGGCGGTGGGTGGTGATGACTAGCTGCCTTCCCTCTAGTCTTACACTGCTAAATTAGGGACAGCTTGCTCAGATAGCCCTCGTGTAGCTTTGCGCGAAATTCATACCAAACCAAACCAAAACTATCATTAATATAAAAATTATTCTCTTTTACGTACATCGTATTAGTTGGCGGTTATCAAATTTGTTTTTTGTACTATGAAAAGCAAAATGCACCAACTTTTTCCTAAGAGTTAACCGGATATTATTTCAAGAATATAATTTTTAAATTCAAGTAAAATTGTATATTACACAAAAAAGCTTTGATTTTCATTTTTATATTACTGAATTTATTTGCATGATTCTTTATTATTGCTTTCATTATTTCCCTTAGGGCCATTTGAAGAACATTCTAACATGTCTTTTATTGAATTAAAATATTCTAATATAGAACAATATATATTTATATCTATATAAATAATATAAATATATATATAAATATATATATTAGTAGACAAGAGTATTTTCGATGAAATAATTTTCTATAATGTGTACTTTATTGAAAGTAAGCGCCAGGAAATAATATTTTCCGTTTATCATACAAGATAGAAGTACATTGAGAGGACTGTTAGATATAAAACATAGGTTCCCCAGCACAGCTAAGGAAGCCTGTCTATCTTTGTTCGATGACGTAAGTCTAGTATTAGTTTTGTTTGTAAGGTATATGTATAAGCACAAGATACATTTCTGATAATCAGTACCTCCATCAGGTATATGGTCTTCATTTTTACGAGACTGTATAGTGAATGTTAGAAATTATATAGTGGCCTTAGTCCTTACTGGGAAAACTTCACGTTATTGTTCATACTGACGGAACGTGTGAGGAGGAGAAGAAAATATTTGTGCTTACACTATAATTTTTGTTATCTATCTACAGCTTTTGTTGCTCGTACATACGTTTGTTGGCCATTTTGTTTCAGATAAGATTTTTCTAGAACTACACATTTCTAATAAAGTACGTGAAAATCGCTTTGCTCATTATGGTTTTGTAGTGTATGACTTAATTATCATTATTTAGAAATATAAAGCAAAACGAAAAATTAGAGCTGAAACCTAAAAACTAAGTACTGTTAAATACGCGAAACATCGTTATATTTACTATGCCGTTTTGTCTCACTTCTTTTGAGATTATTTTCAGATATTTGCGAAAATAAATATAAGGGCTATTTTTGCTAACTGTCCCTAATTATAAATTAACTGAAAGTCAGCTGCTCAACAGCATCTATCGCTATCTCTACGGCTGCTGTAATGGAATTATGAGATCTAACAGGCACTTTTATAACGCACTCACGACTTCAAAGTACGGAGCGCGATTTTGCAGTAATGAGACGAATCACGAACCCTCAAATTCACAATCCAGCGTACAGTCTTGTTTCACTTAGATTTCGTACGCCGTAAAGCATACATGTTACTTCAATGACCTGACCTGACTGCAGCTGTTTTACTATCAACAAGTGGTTATATTCACCACTTTTGTATGTAAGGTGTCTGCTATTTTATCTCTAAGTCTGGATATCTATATAAATTATTCTAATATTCAATGGACATCTCTAATTTCCATACGATATTTTTTAACCTTGATTTATTATTGATATTTTTTTGTGAGTTCATAAAAATAAAATTAACACAGAGACTAATCAATTAAAAACACTCAGTGGCTTATTTTGTTCTCTGAAATCTATATCGTAAATTGTTTTGCTCTGGTACATAGTAACTTTTCTTATACTATCAGTTAATTAGAATACAATAGTTTAATAGCATCCAGCTCTTAAAAGCTGTATCCAACCCGATTAAATTAGTTTTTATTTGAATAACAGCTCGTTTTGTCAAAGTAAAATAAGTTTGTAATTAATATTTTAAGTATCAAGTACATTGTGCTTGTGTCCCATGGACTTACAACGCTAAAAGCCAGGGTTCGATTACCCACGGGGTACAGAGTGCAGATAGCCCATTATGTAGCTTTGCGCTAAAACAACAACAAAATATTATATAGAGATCAGAAAAATTTACTTGTCATCTAAAAGAAATCCAGTCCTGTACTTGTTGTGTAGCTTTTATCTGCAGTAGATATGTGAGAAACTATTGACGTAAAATGTCAAAAAAGCATAAAAAAATAAGAGAAATAAGCATATCATATTAAAAATGAAATTGCTGTTTTTGATTTATACTATAGCAAGTGTTTCGTCGTTTCTGGTGTATATGTACGATTTTGAATACCAATAGGTGTGATGAAGAATGTCATGTGTAAAAGTAGGTTTGCTCCACAAAGTTCAATATCAACCACCAACAAAATAATAGTAACTTTATGGATCATTCTTGAAACACGTTTATTTCAGTTGTCGATTTTCGCCCCAACTTCAAAACATACATTTCCATCAACATGAAAGGGCTCTATGTATCAACGCCTTAGTTAAATTCTTGATCTCCCCCTTTAAAAATAGGCCTTCATCTGATGCAATGAAATAAAACCTTAGATGTCTTTTCAATACACGTAGAGTGACATTTTCTATTCACTTTACGTCTACTGCATAGAGTGCGTGAATATTATCTACCTTTTAACCCCTGTGGTATGAAGCAGAGACATCCTGAAATGTTCACTGGTCAAGTCCATTGAAGTGTTCCCGAATTATTGGCTTTAACCGAAACTCGAAGATCTCAATGTACTCTCCGACACTGACAGTGCCTTTCACAAACCGCAGGCGCCCCACAGCTTTGCCAGAGATACACCCCCTTATCACCTGACCCTGCGGATGCTTCATAGTTGTATTCTAACATGAGACTCTTCTCTACATTGACGTCGTACAAAGTGTTTCCCATCAGACCGAGGTAAACTGGACTTTGATTCATCTGAGAAAATCACATTACTCCACCTCCACATTGCTTCACTCAAGTCAGCTTGCTCTTTGGCCCATTTGAGCCTCATCCTTCTCATCTTGTTGGTGAGGAGGGTTTTCGTTCTTGGCCGTCTTGCTAGGAGACCAGCTCAACACAGACAAGATCGGAATGCGTGACAATGACTTCTCAAGTTTCCTGCCATGATGTTTTCAGATCTGTCAACAACAGTCGATGACTGTGCAGCCTCAAGCGTTTCAGAACACGATTGTCACCTGATGTGGGAGCTTTCTTCCTACCTCTTTCCTTCTACTCCACACAGCCAGTCTGTCCATATATTTGCACCCAGCGACTCACCATAAACTGGCTAATTTTAATTATATTAGCAATTTGCCTTGTTGAAAGTCCTTCTTTGCTCAAATAAACAATGGTTGCTTATTTTCTGTAGAGTTTACTCACGTCCCTTCGCCATGTCAGCATCACTTTGTAGCAGATAAGGGCTTCTAAATTGACTCTCAGTAAAAACCTTATTTATAGCAAAAAAAAAAACCGGACTGATGCACTACACAGACAGCCTATAAAGCTGCTAATGTAATAATCAGACAATACTGCATCATCCTTCAAACACATTTGCACCTACATGAATAAGGGCTTCAAAACAGACGATGATTCTGAAGGAAAGTGTGAAAAACTTGGGTGATGCTATAATTGCCGTCACTGTAATTATAAACAACTTTCCTCTGCTATTAGAGTTTGATAATTTTTATTTATAAGATGTAAATTAATATTTGCAAGATATACAGCTGTTTCATATGTGTCAAGATATAGCTTCTTTGTTTTATTCGTAATTTTGCGTAAAGCTATACATGGGCTTTCTGCTCATAACCATCTGTAACGTTGCACTGATAGACTTGAAAGAAAGCACGTGTTTAACAGCACCCATCATTAACTTTTGGGCTACTCTTATCTGATCAAATAGTGCTCGTCGCCACGAATCCTCGAATTCACAGTCCGGTAACGCTAACTGAGGGATACGATCGGCTATTTTATATGTTTAAAACACTAACTTTACTTCCTGTTAGTATTACCTGTTATTATAACCTACTAGTATTAGCTGTTACTATTACCTGCTAGTATTACCTGTTATTATAACCTACTAGTATTACCTGTTACTATTACCTGTTATTATAACCTACTAGTATTACCTGTTACTATTACCTGCTAGTATTACCTGTTATTATAACCTACTAGTATTAGCTGTTACTATTACCTGTTATTATAACCTACTAGTATTACCTGTTACTATTACCTGCTACTATTACCTGTTATTATAACCTACTAGTATTAGCTGTTACTATTACCTGCTACTATTACCTGTTATTATAACCTACTAGTATTACCTGTTACTATTACCTGTTAGTATTACCTGTTATTATAACCTACTAGTATTACCTGTTACTATTACCTGTTAGTA